TAGAAAGTGGTTGCTTCAAGTTTCCAACTTAACACAATATCTTAATTTATTGCTATAATTAAGAGCTCTTTTTTACGTGTCTAGAACCACGGCATTATCGAGAAAATGTTATATTCCTTTACGAACACTTAGTAATTTCTATAGTTATTTTAAGTACTTAATAGGCCCTATGCAGTTCATTATTATTTCTATGTTTTCCTAAATACATTCACACTGGTATTGGAGTAATGATTAAACTTATACAAACTAAGGAAAATTACGTGGTCAACGGCGACCACTGTATATGCATATATACACATTTGTCCCGCCATTCGAGAACAAAGGTTCCCAATTTACCAATTAGGTAGAAAAAAACATACAACCTGACTTTCGTAAATGGTGTATATTGCGTGGGGACTAACATAAAGATGACATGAAGAATCGTTCGCAGATGAGCCGCAGAATATACGCCAAATTAAAATTCTTTGAAAATGGTTTCATATTTGTGTGCTGGCGATGCCAGTTTTGAAAACAATGAGCGGTAAAAATAAATACGTGATGAGCAGATTCTATGGCAACCGCGGTATTGTTAAACCCAGTGGAGCCCACAAATATGGCCCATGATTGGAAGCCACTATTCAAATATATTAAAGTCAAAAGCATACCACTTCAGTAAAATATATAACTCTATTTGCGTCTTTATAATGCAATGTCTTAGTTTAGTTGATCTCCCGAATTATTTAAGATCTACAGCGTGCCATTTTGTAGACATTACTATGTTTCTTTTTTCGCAGTATATTTATGCATAGGCTAAATCTAGTTGAACTTTCAAAAATTACTGACGACTCACAATATAATAATAGTTGGGCCGGGACCACTCCTCTGGTTTCCCAATAAGACATTTCGATCGTTAATAAGAAATTTCGCTGTTTATAAGATGTCCCCGGGATTGAACGCAGCACCGTTGACTTGCACATGATACATTCAACGGTGAAGCATATGTGCGTATCATCAACCATTATCTCTCCTTCAAAGTCGAACTTGCTGAGATTGCAAGACACTTTCAAGACGGAGGGAACAAATTTCAGGCAAATTGTAGGTAGCAGTTCAAAGGGCAAAGATATGATAGCTGTAAAAGTTCTTTATTGGCCTGACTTGCCGGATGATTACGCTAATTCATAATGGGAGGTGATGGCATAACAGGACTCTCGGATGCTTTCATGTCAGATTTATTTAGAAAAATAAGAAATGCATCGGTACAGCAGCCGATTTCAAAAAAGGTCTTTCACGTAATTATATGCGAAATGCCAGACACCAATCAGTTCTGAAAAGTAAACAAACACGGCTACTCGCTTGTTTCAAGTAATATCATGACATATTATTATGAATCAGGTGACACGAGCGAGTTGGTGTAAGTCAGCAAAAAATGCAGACAGTGAAAAAATGTCTTGGTTATGACTCGGAAATTGTAGAAGTTGGAATGCCATTTGTGGGATGTTGGGAGAAGACAGCACTGGAAAAAGCGTGTGTGCGAGATCGAACCAGTATGCTGCTAAGATTAAGGGAACACGTCACGGTCTTCCGCGGTCAGTTGCGGGTTGATATGAGGAAGGGTGTTACAATGCCGGGTAGCCTAGGATCACAGGTACCGTAAAGGCGATGGGAGACGCGATTGTTATAGTTCAGATAGAGACAAGAGAGGGTATTCGCCTAAGTGTGGTGATAAATTTCATTGAAAAAACAATAATATTACCAAAACCATTAAACTTATAGAATGTATATAGCAGGTTAATATTTTGTCTCCGCCCTTAGTGAGAGAGATCTGTAAAGAATGCCTTATTTCATCTGCTTGGGGTGTCACATCCTTTCTGCACACGGGGAATCGGACTTGAAGCTCGCAGCGCTAAGGGATTTACCAATAATTTGCCTCACTAAGACATACACTGGTTGCTTTATCTACACATTTCCCTACATAGCGCACTACAATAAACTCAGCATATGCATTATGCTGAACAATTTCGAGCTGCGCACTCGAGCATATCATTTGTAAAGGAAATCGATTGCGACTACAATTTTAGCACCTTTCTCGCGGTAACATTGTAAAAATATTTATCGGAAAAGCTGTAAGTTGTCAGTTTGATTAGTGCAGTCTCCGCAAAAGGGCACAAGAAAACATGCATATAAAAAACATGCGCTCACGTGTAAAATTAACATGTTCACTTTTCTCCTAAAACATCTATAGGGACCGCACGTTTGACCCGTTCTATAATTGCTTTCCACCAGCGAGTCTCCTCGATAGGATCAGGTGCCCGTCCAAGTTCTTCGACCTCCTTGTCTTCAGCATTGTCTTTCGCTGGCGGTACGTCCTCTTCTGCCTGAAGAACTGCAGCATCTAATCCATCGAACCAAATCCTCTTTGTCGTGATGGTTTGCGCTGGCGGCGTATACAGCAGAAGGAGAAGGAAGCTGAAGGGTAGTCGAGGAAGCCGACGTTGCTGTAATTGCAGTACTAAACAATTTGCACACATATGTATTGCCTTATAATATAAGCGTTTTCCGGTAAAGGGTAGCTTTTATAATATTTCAGACGCTGACGTTCGCACATGGATAAACAAAGCTAAAACCTCAAGGTTTCAGAAGTACAAACACCGTCGGATCTGCGGTATAAAGGGTTATGAATCTTGGGTTTATGACCCTCGCCAACGTTGCGTTAAGGAGATAGGGGCGCGCAAATGGGCTATTTAAAGTAACCGACATGCCTGATTTAGATTACACGGAGTTAAAGTACCTTAAAGGCACTAGAATAAACAAAACCCAGTGCCCCGCCCAACCACGCAAGCATGCCTGTTTATTGCAGAATCATGTAATTTAGACAGTCACTCCACCACGACGATGATGTCATACGGTCTCACCTTGATGGCCTGAAGGCCAATTGTGTGTTCACAGGTTACTACAGTTTCAGAGGTGCTTGCTACCAGGTCCGGATGCATCTGTAATATGTGCAAATAAAATCGGGAATAGACTGTCGGTCCGCGTTTGGCAGTGATTGAAGAATAATTCCCATTGTTTCAGGACGCGAACTGACTGCAGTTTAGAATGTCCGTTTGAAGTGAAAAGGCCTATTGGCTATTTAAAAAAAGCACTTGCACGCAGTTTAAACAACCGGTATTTTGAAATAGTACTCCGAATGATACTGAAATCAAATATATCATACGTACTAATACACCTATACCGATGCCAAGATAGTATTAGTTTCAGAAGAGGGCAATCAATTCAGGTGAACAGTGAACATTTTGGAATCAGTCCAGAATAACGGTTTTTTCATTGACTCAGGAAGCTTGGTCTTCACCAAGTATCAACTAAAATGTTGGGCTCAATATGTCGATGTCACTTTCATCATTGTCAAACAAATTAATTCACGATGGAAGCTGAAAAAACCCCAAAAACCCTTCCACGATGTCCTCCTTCGACGGTGTTCAGTTGGACTACTGCAAATTAAATATCCAGGAAAGTGACCAGCACGAATCGCCTCCTACATTTCAACACATTCATCCCATGTGTGGCAAACATAGTTGCGTTCGTACTTTTATCCAACGAGTTGAGACAAATCGCAGCATTCCAAGTGCCAGAAGAGCTGAATCGCAATACCTTTACACCTTTTCCGAGCTAATGGATACCGAACTTATTTATTAAGCAACGCGAGCGCCGAGTGAACAGACGACGGCCGGTGCAACAGCAACCCGAAATCTGGTGGCCATTTCTTACATAAAAGTAGTATATGAAACAGTCTCACGACTAGTATAACCTGCTGGCATAGGCAGAGCCCATCGGCCTCAGGCGACAATGCCGAACCGTTTGACAGACTGCCCTCTCCCGAAACATCTGCAGTTTCATACATGATACGTTGCAACGATTGCGACTGTAATTATGTTGGAGGAACAGGCATACGCGATAACAAACTAGCGGATCAGAAACTAAATCCGAACTCACCGATTGCAAGGCGAACTGGAGAGACTGACCACGACTTTTATATTCATTGCGCAACTATCGTAGGCCGAAGAATCTTAAAAGCCGAAAGGATGATGCTTGAGGCATTTTACTACAATTACAACTCCATCAACGGGCATTTAGACCTCCCTGCGGCCCTCATAGTCTTACGATATTAAATGAGCAAAGGACGGAATTAGGCCAAACCGAAAGTTACAGTTGCAAACAAAAATGACCCCACGACGAACTGGCCAGAAGAGGAGACTGGACCA